CCCAATTTCAGGAGTGATAGGAATCAACGGATCTTCCATAGCTTGTCGGGCTTCAAAAACTAACGCTTCGGCTTCCTGTTTGCGTCGACGTACACGCGACATGGTGTTCAACTTGTCTAGGAGATTCATTGTGTGGCCACCACCACCTACGCTACCCCCAATATCACCTCGGCCACTTCCTTCACCCACTCCTCCGATAGGACCACTGGCTCGAGTATCTAGGCCAGTGTGGATCTTTGGACTTGCTTGGTGCATTGTTTTCTGAAAAAAAGATGGTAAGAACAGGTCATCTTATGCTGAGGGCTAGGAAACAACACCACCAGGAGCACGGAGTAGGTAAAGAGACGTACTTATAGAAACTCTGTTAAGTGAAAATAGCCATTTACACAACCTTGTAGCCTATTTAATGAAAGCTTTAAAAGCTACCAAAGTCCAAGGAAGAAATGATTAGAAAGCACTCTCTTAGTACACGAATAATGTTTGCTTCTTGACTATATTTGGATATATAACGTAGCAAATACCATGATGATCGTATTGCAAGCAAGGTTAAAAAGAATGCCATAATTTCGTAGCAAGTTGTAATAATCTCCAGGTCAGAAGTTTAAGACTCATATGTGGCTATTTTTGATAAGATGGGATTACTTGTCCCCAAACTTATTCATGAGGAAACATCAAAATACAGGATAGAATTGAGCGATCTAAAATTGGAAGAATTGAAGCCAGGATGTCAAAAGTACACCAGTCATTTTGAATGACGTTTATTAAGTATAGCTCACACTATTTCCGATGTTCAAACTTCAGCAGCTGATTTGGAGATTGGATACAGAAATGTTTGAAATCACCTAGTAAGGCCCGAGTCTTCAAATAGCAAATTTTTGCAGGTCGTCAACTGAAAATTTGGGTGGGAGGTTTACAATTATAAAAGTGTTAAAATCCTCCCTCCACTGGGTATAATTGTCCAAAAAAATAAGACCACTCTTTGGTAAGCAATGTGCTTTATAACCACGCTTAATGCAAGTCTAACAAAAACTCTACTGAAATAATATTTAACGAATGGATGAAAGGTTAATCAAACATGATATTGCTATTCTCATACGGCTCATTTGCGTGAACTATAAAAGGTGGGACTATAGGACCAGTAATTGAGCAAATATTCACTAATAAAAGATATACCATAAGGTGATTGGCTCTTTATGGCGCCAAAAAGATCAATTTTTATTGGTTAAGCAAAGGGCTATGATATTTGGGAAACCTATGACTAAGTGTGCGAAAGGGGCATGCTCCACACCTGGCATCAATATGTTGCTTGCAAAAGCGGACATCAAAGTCACCATTACAGTATCAGATTGGTGAATTTAAATGTCACCATACAAATATCGAACAACCTAAACACTAATCAGGAAGTCGAGTTGTTCGATTTGAGGATTAAACAGGAGCGATTTCCCAATATAACGTATGGCAATAACTGTCCCATTATTGGTTTGAATTTTTGTTTATCGGCATTGACGAGCTCAAAACCCAAGATCACCGATCAAACCAGATCAATATAAAGGGCGATATCAACAAAAGTAATTCAAATGTTGAGCGAGTAGGCAAATGAAAAAAAGACATAATGGACCTAATTATACGGTTCACCGAAATGGAAAAATTAATAAATTAAGAAATATCCTGAATTCAAGAATCTGAGGCTAATATCAAAGTTGGAAAAAAAGATACTACATATTAGACGGAAATAAAAATCTATCATACAGCTCTCAACACGACTTCATGCATTTTAACTAGCAAGTCATGCGAGTGAAAAGACTAAGAATGTAATATGTAAAATAAATTTAATACAGAGCCAAAAATAAGAAGAAAAATAGCAAATTGAAAAAAACTACAAAAAAATATTATTTCCATAGGCGCTACAATGTTTCACTTCTCATCAGGCTCGGGGATATTAGTTTTCGACTTGGGCACCATAACTTTGTCGATTAGACCAAACTTGAGGGCTTCCTCTGGAGTCATGAAAAAGTCTCGATCCATCCATTTTTCGATTGTCTAAAAGAAAAAAAAACCTATACTTAGATTTAGAGGTAAAATAAAGGTGGAATTCACGAAAAAAGACGAGATCAGGAGCGCACCTCTAGAGATTGATTAGTGTGCTTCGCATAAATAGAATTGATAATTCTTTTGGTTTTGATAATTTCCTCTGCTTGAATCATAATATCACTCGCCTGCCCCTGTGTAGCGCCAGAAGGTTGGTGTACCATAACACGTGAATGTGGGAGGGCATACCGGTGACCAGGAGTCCCCGCTGCTAATAGCAACGACCCCATGCTAGAAGCCTGACCAATACACCAAGTATATATCGGCGGTTCAATATACTGCATTGTGTCGTAAATAGCAAGCCCAGAGGTAATAACTCCACCGGGTGAATTTATGTACAGATGGATAGGAGAGCGCTTATCTTCTGATTGTAAAAAGAGCATCTGAGCTAATATAATGCTTGAAAGATCATCATTCACTGGACCCATAAGACATATTATTCTATCTTTTAGCAAGCGAGAATAAATGTCATATGCTCGTTCACCGGCAGCAGATTTATCAAGGACCATTGGCACAAGTGCATAATTGCAATTAATAGATGTGTAAAGTGCACGCTTCTGCAGTACTGCATTGGAATAAGGTTTAACGCAGCTCAAAATCCGAGATAATAAAAAAACCATATCGAATTGCAGAAACACAAACGAATTCAGTGCTGGCGCATAGCAATATACGCACTAAAACAAAGTTTGATCTTTATAAGAACGTAGAAATTGAATTGAAAGGTTATGCTATTAATACATTATTATTTTCTATGACGACAAAAGTCTATATTACTCTTTTCGTTCGTGGGGCGTGTATTGTGAAACGTAACAGACATGACAATAATTGATTTGTTATGGCCAAGTTAAAAAATCCGATATACTTTAATCATTCAATTAATCATTTTAATATTTGATAATACGACGTTAATTGACTCAACCATGCACTATTAAGCAAGATGAGCACATATAGATTCAACTCAAAGACAAAATTACATTATTATGGTTAACATTAAATATTTCTGCATTATTTATTATTCTTAAATGACAGAACTTTTGATTGTTTTCAATAGCCTTTAGCTGACTTCGGGCATCACAGAGTTGGTTGGGAGGAATGTCAAAGTGAAAAAAGTCGAGAAGGGGGGATAGAAAAATGATTCACAAATGTAAAAGAGACAGACACAAAGGTAGATCATAAGCTAAGATGAGTACTGTGGAAGTGGTGGAACATGACATGGAGTGGGGTCATGGTAGTTTGAAGCCAGAAGTCAACTGGCTTTTAATAAACTTTTTTAGCGTATGAGTATACGTTGCCACCACGTGAAGGTAAATCTATCGCACACCTCGGTTTGTGCATTAAAGTGCCAATATGTTTTAAATTACTTAAGCTAAAGACCTACTCTGCATGTTATTGCAATAGTAATCACTGAAAAAGTTAATGGCAAATCATTTTAAATCTAAACAGTAAAATTTAATACAAAAGCTGGTTTTTAATTGATTATGTAAGACTTGACATTTTATAACTTTATTTTCAATTGTTATTGCTCCCTATTTTTTGTTCGAACTAATTATTCGACCTTTTCATAAGGTCAGTTCAATGTCGTTTAGAGCTCTGTCTGATTACCATTCGTAATATCAACAAATGGCTGATGCTGAAGGAATAAAGATGTTTCTGTATACTTATTTACAGAAAAAGCATAGAAAGTTGCCGCAATATTCATTTAAACAGCGCTCTACAGGCCGCGGCAAATTGCGCTTTATTTGCGAGGTTTGACTATGTGGATTTCTTAATTTTACCCCATTAAGCTTCGAGTGGATGGTTTTTCCTATACTGGTATTGGAAACTCTACAAATAAAAAGGACGCCCAAACAAATTCGGCTCGTGACTTTGCCAACTTTCTTGTTCGTGAAGGACATTTAAAACAGTCGGACCTTCCATCTCTCATAGTAATTTAATGGGTAATTTTCCTAACTTATTTTTCAGTCGGATCGCGAACTTGACTCCATAGAAGTTTCAGATGTCTCCCAAGCATCATCTTCGTCAATTGCTACTCAACTTCCTTTAGGAACAGTCGAAAAAGTGACTGATTCGTATATCAGTGGGACTATTGATAGAGCCAAGTTAGAAGAGGTGATTACTTTTATGAAACTTTTATTTTTTTAGGCAGAAGAGGTCGATCTTACTCATGAAATTCATGGTGGATGGTCATTGGAAAATTCTAAATATCGTTTAAATGAATATCTCCAACAAAATAAACAACCACCTCTCAATATTAAGTACACTCCTGTTGGACCTGATCACAACAGGTTAGTCTGCTAAACCTCAGATATTTCTAGCGCTTATCTATTTGTGCACAATTTCACTGCTTCTCTGAACTTTTTGAGTAGTTTTTTTGACTGACCCGATTCTCTAAGCTTTTAGCATGGGATGGTTTTAATACATTGCTCCTCTTTCTCCATCTTGCAATCCCTCTTCTAAACAACATCCCATGCTATAAAGCTGTCGGGCCAGTTCCTAATACTCATAAAATTTTTTTTTCAGCCTCATGGTCCTTTGATTCAGCCCCTTAAATTAGTAAGTTCCTTTAGCCTGAGGGCAATTTGTGCACTTAAATAATCGAAAAGAATTTCTGTTAAATCAAGATCATGATCTAGTATCGCTTTTATTGTCCCTTTAGGAGCTTCGTTGCTGAAGCTCGTGTATTCGCGAAGAAGACTCAGAAGGAACTATATGCTCGTGAAAATGGCTCCACAAAAGTGTTGGCTTCGAGAGCATGTTGTCTCTCACTAGTCCGGCAACTCTATCACTTTGGTGAGATTGAGGCTTTTTCTGGGGATCGCAAGAAGAAGAAGGTAGATGCGGTATGTTTATCGTTCAGCTTAGAACGGTTGCACCAGTTTCGATTGTGCTTGTACAAAATCTCTCATCTCTTTTTTTCTATAGCTAGTACCAATCTCAGTTGAAATAGACCCTGAATTGGACAACCGATTGCACGCCATGTTGGAGAAATTAAACATGCTACCCATTCTTACTTCGCCGCCCCTAACGAATTCCTCATCTCCAGAAGAACACAACATGATTGTGACCTACAATATTGCTGAATTCAAATCTAAGCCCCGTCAATCTGCTGAACCTGTCTCTTGGTCACCACCAACTCCGAATTGGAACCCCTGGACTGCGTGTAACATAGATCATGGTCCCGAGGTTCGTTTCCTTTTGAATTTTTTTATGAACATGTTTCTTCCCTACGTATGGGATTAGTTTGACTGGATTTAGTCAATTCAAAGCGAATTATTATTCAATTGGTATTTTAACTTATGTAACGTGATTTTTTGTAATCTGTTTCTCTCAACGCATTTTGCTAAATCTATTTCTCCTTTCTTTGTTACCGTAATTTGTTTAACAATGTTTGTTTATTTTTTACAATTTTCACTTTATGTCTTTCTGACTATCGATTATCGTTTATTTGCATATTTTCGACCTTTACTCGCCCTCTTAATTACATTTGTGGCTTAGAAGTCTCTTGCATTCTTGCATTCTTTTCCTGATACACGCAACAAGTCATTGTATTTTTCACCTTAAAAGAAAGGAAAAAAAGAATGAATAATCATGCTCCGGAAAGCACGCTTTTAGTCTTAGACTTACACTTTTTTCCATTTTCTTAAGTAAACTACTTCATCGCACTTATTTATATTTAGTAGGTAAAGTGACATCTTAAAATTACATTTTTATAAGATTAGATAAGTTGGCAATAGATGTTGGCGTAGCAAAATTTGAGATTCACACTTTCTTTACAGTTACCATTATCTCGTACTTTATAAAGCAGTTCGAAATGGTCAATAAAATTGATCATTCTTTTAATTGGAAAATTTTATTAATCACCATGTATGTGATTTGTTGAAATGGTTCCTTTCTTTAGGCTTACCAGTCACTTGCTCAGATCAGCCAAAAATTCAAGTGTGAGTACGACGAACGCATAAATTCTCAGTTCTACGCTCCAATAAAAAAAGAGCGTGCATCCCTACCTGTCGCAAATTATATAAATCAGATTCTCAACTGCATCGCCAAGAATCAAGTCACACTGATCAGGGGCGAGACGGGATGCGGAAAAACCACCCAAGTAAGTTCAATTTAACCCCCACAACTCTCTCTCATGGCCGATTTAATCTCCATGTTCCCCTTTCTCCAGGTTCCACAGTTTATCCTCGACAATTATATTGCATCTGGAAAGGGTGCAGAGTGTGCCGTGTTGGTAACACAACCTCGTAGGCTCTGTGCCATCTCCTTAGCTGAACGGGTGGCAAGTGAACGCTGTGAAGCCATCGGAATTTCGGTCGGTTATTCAGTTCGTTTTGAGACTGTTCACCCTAGACCGTTTGGTTCCATTCTCTTCTGCACTATTGGAACCCTCTGTCGAAAAATGGAAGCTGGAATTCGGGGTGTTTCGCACATTATAATCGATGAAATTCATGAACGAGATGTCAACACAGACTTCATGATGATTCTGATTCGCGATTTAGTGAAGACTAACCCCGCTTTGAGAGTTATTCTGATGTCAGCGACTATTGATACGACGACTTTCCAGGAGTATTTTGGAAAGACTGCGATTGTGACAATTCATGAAAGAATGTTCTTAGTCCAAAGTAAGTGTCTTTTTATTAGTACATACGACATTACTGTTAATTTTGAAACATCTGTTCTACATTGAAGCAACAAAGTGGTCCAATATGGGGTTGAAAGGGTGAGAGTCTTAGTAAAAGTGGGGACTAAACCTCGACGTCGATTGATTCTTAGGTCATTTTAATTCTGAAACTGCCAATTTACTCCCTCTTTGCCTAACTTTTGCATCATAACCTGATGTATTGAACTTCAATTGCCTGTATTCGATCCCTGAATAACTTCCTATAGTTGATGTTCAAAGTTAAGTTATGTGTAGCTATATGCTATCTGAATGTATTTGCCTTTTCTATTTACCATGAATAGTTTCTTAATCATGAGATGAAGTCAACATGATATGTTGTTCTAATATATCCTTTCTGCTTAATTCACACATAAAGCCTGCAAATTTTTATTGATTAAAAGTTCACTCAAGGTAAACTCCAACGAACTCCTGTAATATCTTCGGTATTTCTATAAAAAAAATAAGAAAAGAAGACCGTTTATGCGTAATCAGTTTCCTTGTCACGTTCATGCAAGCATTGCACATTTAGCTTCGCTTGTGCCGTTTGTGCGTATTTATTTATTTATATCAAATGACAGGCGTCTTGATGGT